GACGACGCCGGCCGGAACGGACGGCGGACAACAGCGGCGAGCGGCGGAGCGAACCACGGCGATACCGGCGAAAGCGAGCACACCGGGTAGTTGCACGAGACGAGGGGAGACGAGCCAACGGCTCGGATTCGCCGGAGGTTGCTCGACGGCGGCGGATTGCGGCGGCGGCAACCGGCGGCGGGAGAAGAGGGAAACGGCGACGAGGTCACGAGAGGTCGATTCCCGGCGGTGAGAGCATCTACGCGGCTTCGGGAACTCGACGCTAGCGTCGAATTGGGCGGAACTACGCCGAGCGAGGCCGGCGACGGGCGGGTGCTACGGAGCTCGGGCGGCGACAGCGGCGAGCACACGGCGAGCAACGGCAACGGTCCGGGCGGCGCCGGCTAACTATGGGGAGGCTACTCAAGCTACTACCGAAAGCTAGGGGGAGGAGATGGAGCGAGGAGGAAGAACGGAGAGAGGCATCACCGAGAAGAGGAGGGGCGCTGTGACGAGAGGCCGACGGCGCGGGAGTAATCTCTCCGGCCTCGGGCCGGGGAAGAGGAAGGAGACGAGTGCCCGGAGTCCCCTTCCACGTCCACGAACGCACCGGCTCTCCCGGCGCTTGGCGATGGACGGCGGAGGCGAGACAGAGCACGGGAGCGGCGGCAATGGCGAGGGGGTGAATGGGAGAGGAAAGGAAGGGAGGGGGAGGCTGGGGGTTTAAAGGGGCGGCAATGTCGGTTTGGGAACCGACTTAGGGCGGTCAAGGGCGCGAGCTGGCGCTCGGCGGTCGCGGCCAAAGCGGCGACAGAGAGGATGACGCCGGCGAGGAAAAAAAAGGGGAAAAGGAGGGAGAAAAAGGGGCTTGCCCCTTTGCCGATTCGGGAAAAAGGAGGGGGGAGCGGGGCGACGCGGCAGAGGGAGGAGGGATGCTGCCTCCGTCCCTTGGCGGCTTGCGCGCGGAGTGGCGGGGGCCGGGCGGTGACGACGGCGAGCGGTTTGGAGCGGCGCGACGACACGGGCGACAGGCGCGGGCAGGCGCTGACGATGGCGGCAACCAGACGGTCGGCCACTCGGCATGCGCGCGCGGGAAATAACGGGCGGCGTCCGCGCGGGCGCGCGCACGCGAACACGGCGCGCGGGAAGCGGCTTTGCGAGCGGGGAGCTCGCGCGAGGGGAGGGGGGGCGCTCGGCGTGGGCGACTCCCGCGCACGCGCGCGCGGCGTGCGGGCAGAGCGGAGGGGGAGCGGAGAGAGAGACGCTCGGCGCGGCTCTCGCATGCTCGAGCATCGTGCGGGCGAGGCTGAGCGGGGCTGAGCGGGGGGAGAGCGCGCCGGAGAGGGGAGGGAGCGAGAGAGAGAGAGAGAGAGAGAGCGCGCCCGGGAGAGAGAGGAGAGGGCCGGGGGAGAGGGGGAGATGGGCCGAGCGAGATTCGGCCCATCGACCTCGGGGGAGGCAAAATAGACTTTTGCGGAGGAATTGATTTTGGAAGGATTTGGATTCAGAATTGAACTCGACGATAGATCGGGGATTGAGATCTTGAGATGGCACGGACACTAGACAACAAGCAAGGAAACAAATTTCGCAAATAGGGTTTTTAAGAGATAATTTTCCCGCTAGGCGCCACGACGGAACGGGCGCTACACTAGCCAATTCCCAAACATTTGAGACATGTTGTAAGTTTGTCTAATCCCAAATGTAAAAAGGAGAGCATTGTCTACCAAATGAGGAACTACTTCATTTAGAGTCTCAAGGTCTCACGCCCTACCGATGAGAATGGCAAGCATATCTGCGCCCGATGCTTCGAGATAACAGTAGTGTTCTTTTCTTGTCATGTATTCGATAATCACGTCTCATGGCAACTGACAATGGCAGCTACTGACCGTACCATCAAACTGTAATTAGTTGAAAGGAAGTCTATTGGTGTTGTTGATGACCATTCACTACTATAAAACATCAAATAGGTATCGCCACTATAAGTGCCGGAAGTACTAAAATCGGCACCTATAGGCATTTTCCCACCTTCGCGGGTTGAAATCGAAAAAACCGGCACCTTTAAGCAATTACAGGTGTCGGTTCTAAATAAAAACCGACACCTATTCTATATGTATCGGTTTTTTAAAAAAAACAGAACCTTTAATATTAAAAACAGGCACAGGTTTTCTTAAAAAAACGGCACCTACGAATTGAGCCGAACCGGTGGGCCCCACCACGACGCGTGGAGGAAGGTCCGCTCGGCGCTCGCACGAGGAGATAAGGTCTTCGAACTCTCTCGTCTCATCTCGATCTCTCTTGTTCTCTCCGCTTTCTCTCGCGACACCCTCCAAACCTCTCTCTCTCTCTCTCTCTCATAGCGGCCTGGCGGAGGTAGTGGCGGCCGCGGGGCCTCCCCTCCGACAGATCTGGCCAGGAGCGGCGACCCGGTAGGAGGGGAGGCGGGGGCAGCGGCGGGGGGGGGGGGTGGCGGGAGGGAAGGCGACAGCCGGCGGGAGGGGACTCGGCGATGGCTCATGTGTTCTTGTGTGTTTTGTGGTTTTGTGTGCTCATGTGTTCTTGTGTATGACTTGTGTGTTCATCTCGTGTTCTTGATGTGTTCTTAATGTTTATTTTTCGTGTGAAATTGCTTCATGCATCGGCTCAATTCAAACCGATCCATCGAGCTAGCTGTTTTTTTTTTTGCGTTCCTGAGGCCTCAAAGGTGCCGGTTTGAACCGGCACCGATGACTTTCAGTCATCGGTGCCACCTCCGTGGTGCCGGTTTGCCTAACGTTGGTTCCCAATTACCGGCACTGATTAGCTTCTCTGTAGTAGTGATTCAGTAGATTCTTGGAACATATGCTGGTAATCAACAGTATCAGGTGTTGACATTTGCAAAAAAAAAAATTCTTATAATATTTTCATCATTTTTTTTGACGGAAAACAGCAGGAGAGGATAATAATTTCATCATCGACAGCATAGTTCGAACTGACGACGACAAAATTAAATGCCAACCTCGGCATGCTCATGCATCTCCTTGCCAGTATGACTGAACTGCAGACACTCCTTGCACACTGGCGCTGAATTTGTTGCAGGGAATTAGCTGACAGTACTATGTACATCCACCCGTAGCCTTCATGGTAGAAGCCAGATCTAGAAGCTGAAGTCAATGACATAAATGAGAATTTGGCACCAAATTTTCCTGATAATTTTAACATACTGGTAGTTAATTTCTCGCACATTTACTACTACATAAATCATTTTACCATGTGGCCGAAAGTGATATTTGCATGTGGGCCCACCTGCGTTAAAAGATCTATGAAAATTGGATTTGTGCATGTGGCTAGCGCATCCGCATGTGCATGCAGTAATTTATACCGTCCTCGTGCAAAATAATTTCGGTGAAAAACAAAAACCAAATCGGCCGAACCGTACCCTGCCACTGGCCGAACCCTAGCCCACCCTCCGCCGCTGGTCATCGTAGTAGTGGCGCCGCTGCCACCCACCATCGTCATCGGGCCTCTGAGGCCCCCCCGCCCCCGCTCTCTCCCGATGTTTCCGCCTCAGCCGCCGGAGTGGGAAGGGGAGAGGAACAAAGGAGAGGGAGTAGAAGAGGAAGAGAAGAGAAGAGAAGGAGTTGGAGTGGATAAGAAGAGAGAGAGGAAAGGTTTGGTGGAGAGGTGTAGGAGAGAAAAGGTGCAGTAACTATTGTGTGAGGCCCATTTGCTCTCCGCTTTGCCCACATAATATGGTCTCTTAAGAGGCCTGTCTAGGAAAATAAGTCTATTTTTACATGCTGGCCTCTTAAGAGGCCACGTGCAAAAATACATTATCACATATAACCCATAAACCTTTTTCTGAAAAATGATTTTTGTAGGCACGACCAGTTACAGTCCGCCTGCAACCTACAGGGATACTCATAAAAAAAATGTTTCTATAGTAGAGATTCGTGTCTAGTAGGTCATATTCGAATCTACCATGCACATGCTACCTGGTTCAATGGTTGGTTGGTGCATTCTATTGATGAGCTAGCTGAAGATTTAGTTAGACGTAGTTGCAATTTTGCATAGTACAGTGATTTGAATAACTCTGCACAGAAAGAGATCCTACTGTCCTTTTTTATGGATAAAATACGACACAAGCAAGCCCAACTGTGCTACAGCCTACAAGCGGAAGCGGAAGGGAAGAGATGATCGAACTCCTAGAATAGATTATCTCTTGAGAGGTAATTTTTTTTTAAAAAAAACACAGTGCAAACGAAGTCGCCACATGTCTAGGATTTGAACTCGGGTGGGCTGGTTCCACCACAAGGAACCTAACCAGTTGAGCTATTCTCACTTCGCCTCTTAAGAGGTAGTTGGTGGTGCACCTTAACACAACTCATAAATAAAAGCTCGTAGGAAATTATATAGGCTGATAAGACGGGGAACAATACTTCATATGCATATATATATATATATATATATATATATATATAGCCAGATCGGTTATGCAGATCAGGAAACTCCGGAAATGCGACAGGACACATTGCACGTAGGCATAGGAGGCATCAGGAGTTGTCCTTCTTTCGATCCTTCATCGCCAAGGCCTTAGCGATGGAATTGTCGAAACTGCGGTATGCAGAGGAGCACTCGACGCCGGTCAGACGGTCCTTGACAGTTTCCTTCTCGTTGCTAAACTTACAGTAAGCTTGGCTGCTTGCTGAGAATATGCTGATGACTCCATGGGACGAGAATGTGCCATCCGTGTTCATCGCCGTCACGTTTAACCAACTGCTGTCGCTTCTCCGGGCACTGCCTCAGCAAGGAATAGTTCAGGGAGGCCTGCACACTCAGCAATCCAGTTTGACCTCAGTATCTTCTTCTTAAGAATGATCCTGTGCATGGATTAGTTTATCGTTTGTATATACATACACAGTTCCTGGATGGTTCTGACCGTATTCTATTTCATTGGAAATCAAGAAAACTCTCAATTTTGTGCTGCTTCGTAGATTAGCTAGCTCCTAATTAAGGCTTGAACATTCAACTGATGAGATGAACAGTTTCCTATTGAAGTGGTGAATTCGACTATTGTGGTAAATTTCTGGTAGATGAGGTGCATGTGTTAACTGAACCGCACCCTTTATGTCTTACAACTATTGCAGGAGTCATACATGATACACAGTGCACTACTGTTTAGTGCTGAAATTTTCAGTTATATCAGATAATTAATTAATATTGTCCCATCTTCCTAAAGGTCGACATGATTTGGTGTGAATTAACGGCTCTGGATCAAGTTACCAGATATTCATCAACTTTTCCTTGTTTCTCAACCAAACTTTTCAATCGAATTGAACATTATATGATCAAGCGCTGAGATATATCCAGTCCCCCATCGATGATAATTGGCCCATATATACAGGTGGTAGGTGCTGCATTGAACTGCAATGACAGAGTTGAGTAATATTTCAATCGACTGAAATGCTGTGATCGAGCAAAAAACTCTTACAGGCTGACAGAAATGCACCGCATTTCAAGAACAGAGGGCATGCAGACCAGGCCATTGCCACTCACTGTGCAGCTCGGGTTGCTTTGCGATGCATATGCTTTTGTTTGGCCTAGGAGGCATCAGGAGTAGTCTTTTCACTGGTGTGCCATCAGAGTGGAAATGGGCGTATATGTGCAGCGGATCGCTCACCGCAGATGGGATGTTGTTGTTGCATTACCATGAGTAAGCTGAAATCGTTGCCATGCAGTGGCCGGCGACAACGGTGGCAGGCATATCAATGGAGTAACTATGTGACAGGCACAAATTAACTGTCCTCCTTCTGTATAATGTCTTGTGTGTATGCAAATCGTGTAGTTTGTTAGTCTTTAACTCCTCTGAGCAGTTGTTCAGATTCAAGGTGATATATGTTTGTTTAGGACCTGCGCTTACTGATCGAGCCAGCACAATTGAGGAACAATAGTAACATTCGGAAGATGCTAGAAATTGAGGAACTTCGTTATATTCAAATGATGCTAAAAAGTGGGGGTAGATTAATATTTTCTTGTGATATACTGATATTTAATCTTTCAGATTTGACCACCTAAACTGATCTCAATTCTGATGGCGTGATGGTTTCAAATATTTCCCAAATGATGAACTGGACAAAAAGTGGTAGCCCTGTGGTCCTGATGTGTGCAGTCAAACTGAACTGCAGGTTTTGCATAAATTGCAGGCAATCAAATACTGCAGCCATGTTGAGATTATGACAATAGCTCCAGTGCTACAAAGGCTAAAGGGGAAAACTCTTTTTCCCTTGCCAAAAGGAGAGATGAACAGGCCAGTTACTTCATTCAATGGAACCGATCAGTATTGTAGTGATGAGACAGGTGCAGAGGTGCATATTGGATTCAGCGGCACAACTTGAATTACTGCATCGATACAGATTTTGCATCTATATGGATTAATTTTATAGTCCACGAGAAGATACCGGGTGATACCACATATTATATTATAGTGTAAAATTTGATCACCTCAGACACCAATAGGTGTTAAAATTTACATTAAAAATTTGGTACTTCTCGGTACCTTACCAGGACAATGAAAAGTCTCATTCATATATATTTTCATCCATGCTGCCCGTTTTGTTCCATATATAGAATGATAGAGATGATCAGTCAGCTCCCAACTTCTATACTACAAGCCTACAGAGAGAATGAAGTGTTTTGTTGAAGATCGGTCTTGTGACCCTGCCTCAAGTGGGTTGCTATAATAGGCCTGGGAAGAATCAGAATGTCCGGAATTTCCCGTGTTACGTAGTTCCTCCACTTGGCTAGTAAGATAGAACCAAGGACTAATTTATTTTTTCTGTGTACTCGAGAATTTCACTTTGCATGGCGGCATCCATCTACTGACAGTAACAGCCAGTCAAGTTGTATAGGCCATAAGTTCTTCCGGTGCTGTTGAACTGGTTGTATGTGATGCTTCCCAGGCGCCTAGTTTGGCATGCTGAAAATAAAGACGGTAGTTTGGCATGATTTTACGTTTTGATATTTTCAGAATATATAGATATAGTATAGTTTGATCTTATCTGTTTATGACAATCTAGGCATGCTCAGACAACTCTTGTGTGATATATACCCTTCAAAAATCCAGGATTTTCTTAGCGGGCACAAACCGGTAATGGATGGCTATTGATGAATCTTAAACATACTGCACAGACAACGCCAGTTAATTAGCCATCAACACTCCTTCGTCTTAATTTTAACTGAGCTTAAAATTATATGAGTAATTAACTACTGAGATATCTCACCCCATCTGATCACCGGCCCTTATATACAGGTGGTAGGTGTTGCATTCCACTCATCTTCTGCAATGACACGGTTGAATAATTTACATCGAATGAAAAGTTGTACAAATCAAAGACCAGATGAAGGTGCAAGACAGCACATGTCATACAAAAATATTTTCTTCCAGACTGATCGGGCTACGCTAGGGTGTAGGCGTGCAGCGGGGTGCTTTGACGCATGGATGCTTGGTTTAGGAGGCATCAGGAGTTGACATTACACATATAGATCCACACGCTGTCACCATGACAGTCGACATAGTAGATATGCGGTGAAGATATCGTCGCCGCCGCTTGGTGGGGGCTAATAATTCAGCTTGCCTTAAGCACTCAAGGATGGTGTGCATGTCCTCATTGTTGTCACGGGATTGGTGAAACTGAGTCAAGGCTACTAGGTCGGATGAATCTTGGTGTCCTCAACCCTCCTGCTGTGGGCCTGTGGCAACCGAAACCAATTGGTGGTGGTGTGTCAGGCTAGTGGCGAATTGTGCTTTCCTTACATCTTTTAATTACTGAGCTAGAAGAGTTGAAAACTTCATAACATTTAGAAGATACTAAAAATTGAGGAACTTCATTATATGACCATCATGAAGATAAAAATATAAGAACCTCACTGAAATTCAGAATTTCAGGTGATGCTATAAATTGAGTCAGGAGTTAATATTTTGGATGGACATTTTTTATGGTATTTCCTTTTTCAGATTAAACCACCTAAACTGATGGAGTGATGGTCTCAAGTAAGTCTGACATGATGAATTGGACAAAACTGGTAGCCTGCTGTGTATATGTCAAACTGAAATGTTCCTGAGGTGTTCTTCTTCAAGCAGTTGATGTTGGAATTAATGAATGGGCCTTAGCCCACTCGATGATTAATTCTTTGGAAAATCACAAAAGCCCACCTCATGCGATGGCATGCATGTGGAGTTTAGTACCACCTTGCTTATTCTAGGAGAGGGGGACCTCCTTAAAAGGGAGGATGCCCTCCTAGCCACTTGAAGCATGTGTGGTGGAGAGAAGAGGGGAAACACACGCGCCCTGTTCGTTCGCGACGGCTCGCCTTCCTCTTCGCTCGCGTGTTTCGTGCCTTCGTAGACACTTGCGAAAAGTTTCGACCAAGCAGCCGGTCTTTCCGTCACCTCGGTACGTGTTCAATATGTTGCGCATATTTGATCTGTTCATGTTATACTGTGTAGTTTACATGTGTAGATCTAATGATGCGTTCATGCTAGTTTTCATCTGTAATGTCATGATTTATTTATGGAATAGATTAAATCATTATATGTCTATAATCTCAACAATCCAAAAACCTTATTATAGGCACTGTGATTTTACTATGGCTGGTTTTGCCGATGCACTGAGGCCGGATAAATTCACCGGTGTGCATTTTAAGAGATGGCAGATCAGGGTCACTCTGTGGCTGACAGCTATGAAATGCTTCTGGGTGAGTACTGGCAAACCTGAAGGAGTTCTTACTGCTGAACAGCAGAAGCAATTCGAGGAAGCCACTACTCTCTTTGTGGGATGCATTCTTAGCGTTCTTGGCGATCGTCTGGTCGAGGTGTATATGCATATGACCGACGCTAAGGAGTTATGGGATGCACTGAATACTAAATTCGGTGCTACTGATGCTAGCAATGATCTGTATATCATGGAGCAGTTTCATGACTACAAAATGGCTGACAACCATTCTGTAGTCGAACAGGCTCATGAGATACAAACCATGGCTAAGGAACTCGAACTCCTTAAGTGTGTCTTACCCGACAAATTTGTGGCCGGGTGCATTATTGCAAAACTACCTCCATCTTGGAGGAGTTTCGGTACTGCACTCAAACACAAGAGACAGGAATACTCCGTTGAGGGGTTGATTGCGTCTCTTGATGTTGAGGAGAAAGCTCGGGAAAAAGATGCCGCGTCTAAGGGCGATGGTGGGCAGTCCAGTGCCAATGTTGTGCACAAGGCCCAGAACAAGAGCAAGGAGAAATACAAAGCTCAGCAGACCACCAACTTCAAGAAGCAGAAGAAGAACAACAACAATCCTAATCAGGATGAGAGGACTTGCTTTGTGTGTGGCCAAGTTGGTCATCTGGCTAGGAAGTGTCCACACCGCAAGGGGATGAAGGCACCTGCAGGGCAGACTTCTAAGTCTGCTAATGTGACCATTGGCAACACTGGAGATGGAAGCGGGTATGGTAATTTACCTACTGTTTTTTCAGTTAATCAATCTACTAATTGGTAGGTTGATACTGGGGCCAATGTACATGTTTGTGCTGACATCTCATTGTTTTCTTCTTATCAGGTCGCACGGGGTTCCACCGTCCTAATGGGGAATGGGTCACATGCTTCTGTTCATGGTGTTGGCACGGTAGATCTGAAGTTTACTTCGGGAAAGATCGTGCAGCTGAAGAACATGCAGCATGTCCCTTCTATCGACAGGAATCTTGTTAGTGGCTCCCGTCTGACTAGAGACGGATTTAAGTTGGTTTTTGAGTCTAATAAAGTAGTCGTGTCTAAACATGGATATTTTATTGGTAAAGGTTATGAGTGCGGAGGCCTGTTCCGCTTTTCCCTTTCTGATTTCTGCAATAAGTATGTGAACCATATTTGTGGCAGTGTGGATGATGAGGCTAATGTTTGGCATTCACGTTTATGTCATATTAATTTTGGCTTGATGTCTCGGCTTTCCAGCATGTGTTTAATTCCTAAGTTTTTCATTGTCAAAGGTTCTAAGTGCCATAGTTGTGTGCAATCGAAGCAACCTCGCAAGCCTCACAAGGCTGCCGAGGAGAGAAACTTGGCACCACTAGAACTCCTACATTCAGATCTTTGTGAAATGAATGGGGTGTTGACGAAGGGTGGAAAACGATATTTCATGACATTGATTGATGATGCTACTAGATTTTGCTATGTGTACTTGTTGAAAACGAAAGACGAGGCTCTAGACTATTTTAAAATTTATAAGGCAGAAGTTGAAAATCAACTTGACAGAAAGATAAAAAGGCTTAGGTCTGATCGTGGTGGAGAGTTTTTCTCGAACGAGTTTGACTTATTCTGTGAGGAACATGGCATCATACATGAGAGGACGCCTCCCTATTCTCCCGAGTCTAATGGGATTGCTGAAAGGAAGAACCGCACACTGACTGACTTGGTGAATGCCATGTTGGACACCGCGGGACTGCCTAAGGCATGGTGGGGGGAGGCATTGTTGACCTCAAATCATGTGTTAAACAGAGTTCCTAACAGAAATAAGGACAAAACACCATATGAGATATGGATTGGTAGAAAACCATCACTTTCTTATTTGCGCACATGGGGGTGCTTGGCGAAAGTCAATGTACCAATAACGAAGAAGCGCAAACTTGGACCTAAGACTGTGGACTGTGTTTTTCTGGGATATGCTCATCATAGCATTGCCTATAGATTTTTAATAGTTAAATCCGAGGTACCGGACATGCATGTTGGTACAATTATGGAGTCTCGTGATGCTACCTTCCTTGAGAGCTTTTTCCCAATGAAGGATACACATAGTGGTTCGAACCAACCCTCTGAAATAATTCCCAGTTCAATCACACCACCAGAACAAACTGAACATACACATGAACTTGTGTCTGAGGAGGATGTCAGTGAAGCTCCTCGAAGGAGTAAGAGACAAAGGACGGCTAAGTCTTTTGGTGATGACTTCACTGTGTACCTCGTGGATGACACTCCTAAGTCAATTTCAAAAGCATATGCATCTCCTGATGCAGACTACTGGAAGGAGGCTGTCCGTAGTGAAATGGATTCCATTATCGCTAACGGGACTTGGGAGGTGACAGAGCGACCCTATGGGTGTAAACCTGTGGGGTGCAAGTGGGTGTTCAAGAAGAAGCTTAGGCCTGACGGTACTATTGAAAAGTACAAGGCTCGGCTTGTTGCTAAGGGCTATACTCAGAAAGAAGGCGAAGATTTCTTTGACACTTACTCACCTGTTGCTAGATTGACCACAATTCGTGTGCTACTTTCCCTAGCAGCCTCACATGGTCTTCTCGTTCATCAAATGGACGTTAAGACAGCTTTTCTTAATGGAGAGCTGGATGAGGAGATCTATATGGATCAACCTGATGGGTTTGTAGTTGAAGGTCAAGAAGGCAAAGTGTGCAAATTGTTGAAGTCTTTGTATGGTCTGAAACAAGCTCCTAAGCAATGGCATGAGAAATTTGACAAAACATTGACATCTGCAGGCTTTGCAGTCAATGAGGCAGATAAATGTGTGTACTATCGCCATGGTGGGGGTGAAGGAGTTATTTTGTGCTTGTATGTTGACGACATACTGATATTTGGGACAAACCTTCAGGTGATAAATGAGGTTAAATCATTCTTGTCTCAAAATTTTGATATGAAAGATTTGGGAGTAGCTGATGTTATCTTAAACATTAAGCTAATTAGAGGTGAGAATGGGATTAATCTCTTGCAG